TAAACACGCACTGAACAGAGAGCAGTGCCATGAATTTATACGTGACATTTCTTACATATCCACAGAAGTTGCTTGAAAATCGAGGCACTTTGACTGAGGTATCGACTATACTAACAATTTTTAAAATCAGCACCGAATCAAATCTTATAATTACTGGAGAGCAGCAGGATGACAGACACAAAGGTCCTTCCAGTAGCTGTCCTGGAGCCAGTGGTCATCAGGGAATCTGAGGCTCTCCTGCCACTTGCCGCCCCCTGAGCCAGTCTCTGCTGGCACTGCCCAAGTAGCCTGCAGGTTGACACAGGTCTGGGGTGGGGGAGGGACAGAGAAATCAGGAAAGATGCAGATCTGGTGCTTCTTCCTGCAGCAATTTGGAGCCAGTTGGGCATTTCATGGAGACTCAGAATGTAGATCATTAAAGAAACTTCTGGAGAAGCTTAGCATCTCACTCTGTTGCAGAGGTGCTTGGAATCAGTGTCACTCCTGGGTCAATATCTGGTTTCCCCAGCCCTGGGGACAAGGCTCCTTCCCTGTCACTTCACTTCACTGTCCTTCACTTCACTTCACACTTATCTTCCCAGGGAGGGTGGGGTCACAGGTCGACAGCCAAGACAGTCATTTCTCACACTCCCCCATCTTTCCCAGGGCCTCCAGTGAACGCTGTGAGAAGCCACGCCCGTCAGGTTCCCAGCAAAGATTCCATCACCTTGCGCACAGCCTTTATCAGTATGTCCTTCTCAAGGTCTAATTAGAGGCTCTGCTGCTGTCATGCACATTTGTTTCCTTCCTCGGCACCTCTTTGCAGGTGGACAAGAGCTGCTCGCTCCTGACCCCAGCCTCTCATCTGCCTGCAGTTTCTTTCTTGAAGTCTAAATCCCGGCCATCGCCCTGGCAGATGTCCTAAGTGCTCTGCTGGGTGCACTCTCATTTCCAGTGCCTTCCTCTCACCCACCTACGCACAGTCCCCTGTTACCATCAAAGGCTGGCAACTCTCCCAACCTCCTAACCAATGACGAGCGGATGGATGGGTCTGTGGGGCTAAGGCTGCCAGACAATGCAGGTTCAGGTGAACCCCACTTTCTGGACTGTCCATAGCCCATCATTTTTGTCCTGGACTCTTTGGGTCCCCTTCCTCCCACTTATGGGACTCAACCTACCATTGCTCTCTGGTGGCTCTGAAAGGATTCAGAGAATTTTTTTTCTGTAAGACATTAGTTGAAATAACAAAGAATGAGGACAGGAGGCCACTGCAGATAGGGAAGCCATCCCAGCCCATGACTCACCCCTCCCCCACACCATGTTGTCACACCTGGGCAGGGCAGAGGGCAGGACTCCATTCTCCCCCAGTCTCCGCTTGCTGGACATGCATGGCCAAGGCGGGGCAGTGGCGGGGGGGCGCACCAGGGCAGCCAGACACCCCTGTCTTGGCTTAGCCTCAGTTTTCTCCCTCAATAAATTCTCTCCCATGGATGCCTGGGGGTGAGTAAAGGAACCCAGTGACCCTAATGGCCCCAGAAAGATCATTAGAGTTGGTGCAACCAGAGGAAAGGGCCCACCAGGGAATGGCAGCGCGGCCAGGCCTGTGCCAATCCTGAGCATCACTTGTGAGTGCCTGATATGGGGTGTGTCTAGGCCAGGGGTGATGGGGATGGAAGCAGCCCTTGCTCCCGTCTTGGGGTTGACCAGCTGGCTGAGCACTGTCTGTGAGGTGAGTTAGTGCGAGGGTGTCTGCTTGGGGCAGGGGTGGGCGGTTGTGCAATGAGAAGTTGGGTGTATTCTTGGGGACAGGTTGTCCCCATGAGTTGGTCCCATGCTCTAGCCTCTAGTGGCCAGGCTGAAGAGAGTCTTGGAGGATGGATGGCCAGAGCCACACCTGGCGGTGCACTGTTGAGCAGGAAGCTCCCTAAGTCTCTCTCCAGCTGAGAAACTCTGCAAGACGGATGCGCCAGGCCAGCTGTCACGGACCAGCTACCTGGGAACTTTCTTGGTGGCCTGGCCATGCACAGGATGCTGCCCAGCTCTGATCCCTCCCCAGAGAGCTTCAGGAGACTGCAGCTCCATAGCAGGGCAGTCAGATGTCCTGGGGATGAGACCATTGGTCAGAGCACGGATGTGGGCAGGAGCTTGGTCCATGGACCAGGCGACACCCTAGAGAGGACAGAGCAATGCGAAGGAAGGAAGGTGGCCCGTGCTGTACAACTGCCATGTCATCCAGGCAAATGGCAAAAAAGAAACCAGCTTCCATCTGGTTCATGCTGTCCTAACGCTGCGGCTGATTAATTCAGTCCCTGACGTCTCAACATCAGGCCTCTTGTCCCTGAAACAAGGCACTTCTGACCTCAGGAGACCTCGTTTCGATTGGGGCCAGACGCTGTGCCTCCCCATGAGGATGATCCCCACCGAGGCCGCCCGTCAGGGGGTGTGGCTCTTCTCATCTCCCAGTGCAGCCTGCCTGGTCTCTGACCTCTAGTTTCTGACCTCCAGGCCACCCTGCAGACTCCTGCATCTCCTGCTGTGTGCGGGGCATTTATCACCCCTGGGTCTCATCCTTCTAACTCAGGGTGAGGCCCCTGAAGGCAGAGCATGGCACCAAGCCTGTCTGGGCCCAGCACCAGGCCCCTGCTGCTCAATGACGCTCTTAGAAATCCCACCTTATAAATGTCCTTTGCATATGTCCTAGGCTCCAAGCAGCTTCCCACGGCACAGTGGGTGACAGCTGGACCCAGGACAACAGCATTTCCAGCTTTCCTCATGCTCTCCAAACACAGAAACTGCAGGCCCCGCCCCTGAGACCAACCAAGCACAAGCCCGGGGCTGCACAGTGAGTGTCCCTGGGGGCCTAGGCCACTCGTGCACTTTCTCCCCCTGAGATGATTAGATGATGGGACAGGTCACGGGTAGTGGGAATGCCAGTGGCCTCATGGCCTGTGGGGGCCCCTCCCAAGAAGCCCTTGTCTCTGGGCATGTCAGGGAATGGGTGGGTTGACATTCAGAGACCCCAGCTCCTCCAGCCGGGGGTTCCTCCTCCATAGTGAGCCTAGGTCTCAGCTCCACCTGCCAATAAAGGACCTAATATGTGCTTTTTATGGTTTCATCTTTATATTCAGTGACACTTCATTTTGCAGAAGCTGCTCACCCCAGAGCTCTTGGGCTGCTTCCCAGAGGTGGGATTGGGGCCAGCTGGTCCTTGCAGTGCCAGGAGGCTTGGGGCATGGAAGAGCCCACACACAACCCCTGCTGGAGCAGCCCATCCCAGCCCTGGCCCCTCGGCCTGGCTCGACCCTCCTCTGGGTGGCTGAAATAGGCCCAGCAAGGACCACTCAGAAGGGAGGGGTGCAGCTGAGGGGTGGGTGGGAACAGGACCTTGTCTCAGCTCCTGAGGACCCTGTCAGGAGTGCTGGGACCAGAGGAAAAGGGTGGGGAGATGGCCCAGAAAAGGTGATAAAGGGAAGAGAAAAAAGACCACATGCCAGAAAATTCCAGAACCAGACACCTACTGACCAAATAACAGAGAGCGCTCACTGACCAGCCTCTCTGGTTCTCCATTCAAGGGCTCCGACCTCGCCCCACAGCCTTCTCTGGTGCTGGAGTCCCCACATCCAAGCCCACCTTTGCTGCTCGAGTGTTAAGGACCATCCTACGGGGAACCCCAGAATGAAGGGCAGGAACTCATGTGCAAGCCTTGGGCCAAGAGCTCGGGGCCTCAGTGAGGGTAACAGACTCTGGCCAAGGAGGAAGCGAGACAAAACACCTTCCCACTGTAGTAGGGCAGGGTAAAGACGCCCCGTGGCATTTTTATTCGGTCTCAGTTTTCTCATCTGCAAGTGGCATGGAGATGCTAGAAGGACCTTCAGAGGCCATGAGCCCTCCTGGATTTTCCTACGAGGAAGCTGACATCTGAGGAGGAAGGACTTGCCACCAAATTTGCGGCACAGCAAAAACCCAAACACTGGGCCCCCGACCTCCTCTCCAGGGCTGTTATTATGACCTCTGCCCTAAGACACCACCGGACACACACCACAAACCTCAGGAAGAGAGAGGACGGCACGGCAGGGCAGGGCCCCACCCCACGGGGAGCAGCGCCCTGCAGCCCAAGGGAGACCCAGAACGGAGGCCCCCGAGCAGAACGGCGAAGGCCCGGCTTCATCAGCGCGAAGACTGACGCTGGACCAAGCCAGTGGGCTGGAACACGAGTCCCTGCATCACCTGTGCGCTCAGGGGCTGTGGCGCCTGTGAGGTGCCCTCAGCTTTCTGGGAAGGCAGAGTCTGAAGCTGGGCGGGGGCTGGGGGCAAGAGGCTCTTTCAACTTCTGACCTCACAGTCTCCCATAGGAGGGGTGAGGAGTCAGTGAGACCAGCTGGGCCACCAGAGGTGTGAGGAGCAGAGTGTCATCAGGATGGCTCTCAAAGACCAGCTGCTTCCCTTCCCTCCCAGCCACACAGCCACCCAGGACCCCCACTCCCCTTCCCCACGGACCTGGGAAGCGGCTCCAGTCTGGCCCCAGGACTGTTGTGGGCTGGGGGAGGCGGACAGGCCTCCGAGCTTCTCCCACAAGCTCCTCACTCCCCACAGCCCTCGGCAGACCTGGGGCAGAAGGGTCTCCCAAGAGCCCAGCCGGCACTCAAATTCTGAGTCCCAGTGTTTTGGGGGCTCTGCCATTGTCACCGCGTGCACCTCCACTTCAGCCATCCACAAACTGCAAAATCTCCCACTGCAAGGACATGTCACTGAGCATCGACACCCTCCTCTCTGTGGACATCTGGGTTGTTTCCAGATGTGTTATTATATATAACACTGCTAAAAAGGAACCTTAGGAATCAACTTGTTAGTGGGAGAGGCGTTCACCAGGGCCAGGGAATGGGGGGTTCCAGAGGTGCCGACGGCACCCTCCCCTCTCCCTTTGTCCTGCTTGCTCCACAGACCTCTCAGGAGCCACCGGGCCAGCCCCAGACCAACAAGACATGTGTCAACCCCAGGTGGAGCTCGGGATGGTTCCCTACCTGCTGCGGTGGGGCTCGCCCTCTGGAGAAGGAGCAGCTGCTGTTGAGCTGCTCGCTGCAATCCGCTGTCCACTGCAGAACAGAAAGGAGGGGTCGGTGACGGCAGAACAGACAGGCTCACCTCACTCTGTGCCCCCCGCCATGTGTCCCTGCCCCTTGGCCTCAGAGCTGTAGGAAATCCAACTTGGCATTTTCAATGGCAAATCCTTCCCCACCAAGGTGGCCTCTTGCACATTCCATACCCAGCTCCAAAAGATGACAGACTTGGCATCAGGAAGGGGAGCCCCAGACTGGCCATCAGAAGCTGGGCTTGAGCGTCCCCGAGTGGGATCTGACAACCACCTGCATGAACGTCCCCGAAGTCTGCTCTGCAGGGAACCTGGGCCTCACCATCCACCCACTGAATTGGACCCCGTGAGGTTCAAGGACCAGCATTCTGACAAGCTCTCCAAGTGAGGCACCAGGAGTTTGAGAGCCACTGAAACGCCTCTGATCACCCACGTGTCATTTTGTCATTCACAAAATGGGGACAGCAAAATTGGACAACTCTGCAAGGTTGAGGCAAAGGTACTTCGGGAGCCATAAAATACTATGTAGGCATCACGTCACAGGGGTAGGAGTCTCCTCCCACCAAGGGCAATCCAGCCACATGGTGGCATTAAAGGTGGCATTAAACGTCTGCTCGTCTCTGCAGTGCTGCTGAGCACTGACCTTACTCTACACACTGACCATGCATAAAATGCAGAGGGCGCTCAGTCCCTACAGGTCTGAGCTTCTGATCAAAACTGAGCATGGAAGACTTATCACCAACAAAGCCCTGGTTTTCTAAAACCTTGTCCAGGCACAACTCTCCAGACAGTGGATCAAGGACTCGACCTTTGTACAGGACAGACCTTTAAGTATGATGCTGACGATGGAGACTGAGTTCAAGTGTGCTCTAGAGCAGCACCTTCCAAACCAAATGCAACAAGAGCCACAAATAGGAGCTGCAGACCTAGTCCACGTTCTAGCAGCCAGATGGTTAAAAGAGAGGCAAAGTTAAAGAGTATATTTTACTTAGCCCAACGTATCACTCGAACAGGTAACCAATAAAAAAATATCAGTAATGAAATCGTTTGCAATCCTCTGTCCACACTAAGGTTTTGAAATCCACTCAGCACATGAGTTTGGATGAGACACATTTTAAGGGCTGCACGTGGCCAGCTCTAGAGAGATGGCAAAGGCGGCAGATCCACTTCTTGCCCATCCCTGTCCCTAGGGCAGAGGGGCTGACCTTCCCAGGCTCCTGTCAGCTGCTTCCGGCTGGGTTAACCCAGAAGATAGGAAGGAGGGAGAAGCCAGGGCAGGCTCGGTCTCCGTCTCTGCATCAGATGGCATTGCTAGCCGTGCCTGGGCCTCCTCCCAGTTCCAGCCCTCACCTAACAGGCTTGGATGCTTAACTCTGGGCCTGGTTCTGGTGACACCATCTCTTCCTTGTGCCTCACAGGAAGGGGTGATAACACTATCTGTGGGTGCTAATTTCTGGTAGTTTAGCTTCTTAGCTTGTTTACCCTCTGGGCAACTAGTTCTCTGGATTAAATTCTCTCTGTTTGGATAATTCCAGTCTCAAAATATCTTCCCCCTCAACATTTATTCATTGAAAGACAAGAAACCTACCAGCCATCAGTTTAACCAAGGGAGCAAATGAAATATGTCAACATCCTGGGCTTCCTAATATGGTGTAGAGTGGGAGGGTACATCGCTTTTAAGGTATTTGTACTCAAAATGCATAATCTCAATGTAATCACGAGAAACACCAGGAAACCCAAATTAATGAACTTCCCACAGAATCAGTGACCGGTGCATAACAAATGTATCAGGGTTGTGAAAGAAAAGGAAAGACCAAGATAGTATCGGATTGGAGGAGAATAAGGGCACATGACAACTAAATGCAAATTTGGATCTTGGCACGGAGAAAGGATGTTAGTGGCAAAACCCATGAACTATGAATAAAACCTCTAGTTAACACCATTGTACCACTGTTAATTTCTTAGTGCTGATCATTGTACTGTGGTCATGTAAGAGGTTCATATTAGAAGTTGTGTTACAGGGAACACTTGGGACTATTCTGCACTTTAGCTGTAAGTCTAAAAAAAAATTCAAAACAAAAGGGAAATATGTATGAATACATGTACATGTATCCACTATGCATACAGACATATGATGTGTACATACACATTTTGGATTGACACATACGTATGCACATAAATGGCTACATGTGTGTCTGTGCAGCTTGCACTACTGTGAAAGTCCCTCTGCGTTACCCATTGGAGTGGTTTTCCTCTCCAGCTAAAGTCTGGCCAAGGAATAAGGTGACTATTGCTGTCCCATCCCAGGATGGCCTCTCAGATAAAGTCTTTCCCTTTCCAGGTGTTCCAAACACTTCAACCCCAGATGTGCAGCACTGTTGTGACATCCTATAGAGAGGACGGGCACAGCTCCTTCTGGGGTCAGCCTGCCCCTCACAGGGTGACAAGCATGCAGCCAGTGTGCCTGCAACCTCGCCCCCCCCTCGGTGAGCCCACCCAGGGCAGCTCCAAGCTCCAGCAAGACAGCCCTGCTGTGACTGCACTTTACATTTGCTCACCAAAGTCTCCCACAGTAAAGCGTGTTCCTCGCGGGAGGGGTAGGATACGTCAACCAGCAGCAATGCAAGCAGAGGTGGGGATGTGCAGTGGGGAGGAGGAAGGCCAGGCTCTCTGCAGGGCCATGAGGGGAGGAAGGCAGAAGCCCAGGGTTCTCAGAGAAGAGGGAGCCCAAGCCAGGCCTGTGAGCAGGGGCAGGGGAGCGCTTCTCCTTGATGGCAACAGGCTCACAAGCTGCAGCCTCGGTTCTGGCCATGTCCTCTGGGGGGATGGTGTGTCTTACTCGCGAGGGTCACCCAGCCCAGAGAGGCAGGACGGTGGGAAATTTTTCTATATGGGAACAGTTTACATTGAATTCACAGAAGTGGTTTCAGGGTCTCAACCATAGCTGATAATATCTATCTTAATTTAAAAGTCTAGAGCAAACAAGACACAAAGTTAAGTTTTAATAAACGTATGAGTACAGGTATTTATTCTGAACTCAAAATGGATGTCTATTTGATTATTCTCTACTCTCATCCATACATTTTAAAATTTCACAGTTAATAAAATTACAATCAGTCATTTCAGGTTGGCAATAGTCTTGAGCAGATGCTGGGGAGGAGGTGGTCACAGGTGATGAACACTGTAGGAGGAGGAGCAAGAGTAAGGAAACCTGGGGTGGAAGGGGCTGGGGCCTCAGGATCAAAAGGGCCCACTTCTCACAGTGTCTAAAATTCCCCCAGGTTCAGATATCAAAGGCCACGTCACAGGAGAGCCACATCACATGGTGCATCAGCACAGGAACAGAAAAACAGACGGGCTGATGACCCTGCACCTAGAAGCCAATTAACGTACAACGGGAACTGGGAACACGATAAGGAGAGCACTTTAAATTAGGGAAAGGAGAGAGTCATCAATAACCACATGGAACTGAGCAAGCAGCCGGCAGCTAACAGAAAATCTCCTCTAGGTGTCCTCCTTGCAAGATCCAAGGAAAGAACATTCCAAGTTGATTAAGATCTGAGAATCAAGTTCAAACTACATCAACATTTGAACTTCTGTGTATGTGACTCTAGAAATCATGAGCAAGAAAGAAGATAAGTGAGAGGCCACGGGCAGCAGGTGTAGCCAAGGGCCCCTGGCTGGAGCTAAGTCCAGCCCCTTCCAGGCTGTGACGCTGATTGACATTTCCTCCTCATAGCCCCCGAGGGCTCTTACTCTCTCCTCTAGGCCAACGGGGATGGAGGCACAGCAGGGCGAGTGCCTTGTCCAGGCCCAAACATGGCAGAATGAGCAAGGGCTGAATAGGTTTCCTTCAGAGCCAGGAAAAATGGCGGCACTGAGTGCAATGTGTGGTCTGGAGTCCACCAAGGTCACAGCGGGGACTTCTTTTTCAAATAAAGGATCTGATTGGGAAATTGGTGAAATATAAGATACATAGATTAAATGATAGTTTTGTATCAATGTTTATTTCCCATGGTATGATTATGTAAGAGAAAACCCTTGTTCTTGGAAAACACACATTGAAGCATTTAGGGATAAAGGGGGGTAATATCTGCAACTTACTTCCAAATGGTTCAGAGAAATCCATAAAAACAAGCTTGTGGCTTGTGTGTGTGTGTGTGTTTGTGTGTGTGTGTGTGTATATATATATATATAGAGAGAGAGAGAGAGAGAATGTGGTAAATATTGACAATCAGGGACACTGGATGAAGGACATGCAAAAATTCTTTGTATTTTTATTGTGATTTTTTTAATGTAATTTAAGATATTTTTGGATTACTCCTCCCCAAGCGGCCTCACTTCCTCACCTCCTTCAAATCTTCCAACAGCCCAGCTGCCTGGGTCATAAATATTTCACCTTTAACATCCCATATCCTGTCTTCCCCACCAAAGATAGGCCTTAGGAGGGCAGTGATCATGGCTGGTTCCATTCATGACTTTGTCCTGAAAGCCTACAACTGTGCCTGAATGAATAAATATTAGCTCTAATTATATTTTACTACTTAGTACCTGGCAGAATAATAGAAGATCTAAACAACTACACTAAAACCACCACTCGAGAATGTCAAGGAGATCATTCTAAATAAAAAGCAAGGTAAAATTGACTGTATGCTAGAAGCACAACTTTGTAAAAGGTGTATAAGAAAGAATAATACACAAAAACTATATGAATTCTTATCATAAAATGACAGTGAACTTCTTTTCTGTTTCTCATTAATCTGTTTTTCTAACTGTTGCTTTTAAAGTAAAATTTTAAAAGAAAATATATTTTTTTTTGGACTGGGGGTTGAATTCAAGGGTTCTTTCTCACTGAGCTACTTTCCCAGCCCTTTTTATTTCATTTTGAGACAGGGTCTCCCTAAGTGGCCAAGGCTGGCCTTGAACTTTTGATTTTCCTGCCTCAGCCTGTCCAGTCCCTGGGATTACAGGCACGTGCCACCGCACCCTGCTACAAGTAAAATA